CAGTTTATTCAGGCCCTTGATATTTCTTCTTCTCCCTCTCGGATGCCCCTCCCAGCCTTAATAAAGCATCTCAAGCCCCAATGCGAAGCTGCCACGTGGAGCTTTCTCATAGGGTGGTGAAAAACCACGCGCCAACTCTCCCAAATAAGGAGTTGTTTGTCACAGACCACAGCGGAGCCAGCGCCATCTTGTAATGGCGACCATAGTCTGCAGAAACGGCAGAAGCGGCTCACCACATCTGTACTTGCATTTATCATTGTCTTTGAACTAGCACTGGATCTGCCTTGCAACCTTATTGCTAGAAGCTGAGCACGGAAACTGGACTTCACTGTGCAGAGCAGCATTATGGAAGAGATCACAGAAGTTCCCAAGAACTCAAAAGTCCATAAACATATTTTCAAACATAGCAATCATCTCTGTCGTCACTTTAGAGTACACCACAAAGAAATGTCACAAGAGGCTAGTGAGGGATTGTGAAAACACACCCTATACAATTTCTCTCAACAGCAGTATCAGCAGCAGGTCAATGAGAGATTGTCGCGACCCCTCGCCGGCAAGGGAAAACACGACACAGGATTCTTCTTTCAGCAGTTTATTCAGGCCTTGTTTCATGTATCATCTTCTAGGGACCCCCCGCCGAGCGCCCAAGCACAGCCTAATAAAGCCTCCTGCATAGCAATCCCAAGCTGCCACGTGGATCTCTCTCATAGGGTGGGAAGGGATTGCGTGCCAATTCTCCATATAAGGAGTTGTTTATCACAGGCTACAGTGGAAGCCGGCGCCATCTTCTAATGGCGGCCACGGTCTATAAGAATGGCTCACCACAAGAGATCCTAGATTCAGCTGACTTTGTAGTTTACTTCTTTGCTGGCTGATCTGAGTTTCCAAACTAATACCTCAAGAAGCAATCTGAGGTGAATCTGTGACCTGCAGTGTCACTACAGACTCACTGGTCCACTCAATAAACATGGTTTTCCTCCAGAGGCTTCTTTTTCCACATGTACAGCTGCTGCAGTTGGTTAGAGGACAGGAAGAAGCATATCTTGGCCATTGTGCTACCATCCTGTTATTCCTGGTATCCCAGGTATATCAGCAGCTGGTGTTTCAGGGATTGATGAAAGGATCCTTAAAGGGATTGAACATGATTGTCTTGTCCCTTTGCATCTCAGGGAAAAGAGCCAACACAGTGTCATTCTCATAGCAAAAGCTGCCATGGTCCACACATCAGTGAGCATGACTTCTGGAAGACAGAGATGGTCTTCCTCCTGCACTGACAATATAGCCAGGATGTTTTTCTAAAAGTGCAGCCCTTGTTTACATGAAAGGATCACTTCTTTTACATTGAGTAGGAACATGTCACATAGTCATCAGTGGAAAACTCAATGGTGTAAAGAGATTAGTACTCTAGAGGGACCATGAATTGAAAGTCTCTGACTCATGGTTGCAATATGCCTCATAGAAAAAAGAGTAAGTCTTCTCTGGGAGGATAGACAGCAGAGCCTGTGATGACACACCATCAGTCATCAGTGAAGAGACAACATTCCCTGTTCAGGTGCTCACAATTAGTAAGTGCTGAAGGACAAAACAGATCAAAAGAGCCACCCAAGATGACTGCTGGTCATTGCCATTGGATAGGATTTCCTCTCCATCCGACTTATATCCTTAAAATAAGTAGGTCCTCTATCCCTGCAAGTCCTGGCATTTACAGATTTCAATAGTTATTTGGCCATAAGAGAAAAGCAATAAAGCAGTGTCCATTGCATAAGAAACAGGAGGCTTTTCAACGTTAACAATTGTGAAGTTGGAGAAGACTCTGGTGGACACGCACCTGGTGCCAGTGGTTACCTACCTTCCTGAACTGATCCTTCATCATTCCAAGCAGTGAATGACATTTTGGTTTTGGAGTTCTCACATGTTTTATTGGAAACATGATGATCTGTTTTCACATCTCTTTCAGGTTCAGCTAGTTGGTGGAAGGCAAGGGACACCCCACCTTGCTCTGTGTCCTCCTCCTCCCACCTCCTCATTACTCTCTTTAGGCCCCATATTCCTCAGCAGCCATGTGTAAATTCTTTCCAGATAATAAGCTTAAATATCATTGTATTCATTTTGTTTTTTCCCTTTCTCCCAGGGATCACTCTTCTGCATTTCTTGCTTAGTAATATCTGAACATTTTCTTATCCTATATTTTGTTATTCTTGTAATTCTTTAAAGTAACAGGGAAAATCCATTTTTCATATGCTATCAGGACTGAAGCTAAAATCCAGAGTAAATGGATTTTGAAGTCCGCATATTTCTTCTAAAAGTCCTCTATTATCTTATCCATTTGCTACTCTGACTTCAGGTCCACAAAATTTCTCACTCTACCTACAATGTCCTGTTTGGTATTTTTAAAAAATATTCCATACATGTTCTCGTTACAGGTTCTCCAATGCCCTCTATCTGCCTATTTATTTTCTCATTTCCTTTATATTTTTGCTCTTTTGCTCAAGGAGGGTTTTCTGGCCATAATCTAGTGTTGACTCTTTATCCTTACCAAGACTTTCTATCCCCCTTTTCCAATTTGGTTTTCTCCTTAGTACTTATCACTAGCTACATATATAACTTGTCATCTTTGTTATGTCCCCCTTCTAGAATATATTTCCATGAAGTCTAGAATTTTTCTTTTCTTCCTGGCTTTATACAAAATGTATAGAAGAGTTCCTAGGATATATTAGGAACTCAATGATTTTTACATCAAACAGTTTTATATTAGCATATACCAACACAAAATTTTATGCATTCTCTTTATTAGGTACATAGAGAATTGAACACAAACAATATAAGGAACTGAGTTTGTATGAGATGCACAAGATATTTTTGTAGTTGTGTTCAAATTGCAAAATAATCTTAAAGGGCACATAGGAATTTATCATGTAAGAATGTGAAAGGGCATTCAGAGCAAAGATAAAGATTTACAGAGATGTGAGATTATTGATGTGTTCAGGAAAGTGTGATTGAGGCAATAAGTGTAGCAGGAAATATCTGCTGTGCAAAACTTGATAATGGGAAAGTAGGAAATTAAAAAACACTATCTTGAATCAAAAAACTAGTTCATGGAACAAGTGAATCTGAACTCATATTACAGATAACCATTATAATACTACAACCTCCTTCTTTCCTGTTATCATGTTCTAAATCAAACTTTGCTAAAGTACTCCTTGGAATCCATGGAACAAAAATTGGAAAGAAAATTTCTAATCATACTGACTTCTCAGAATTTAAATGGAATTTTAGGTACTTGAAACCACAAAATTACCATATCATAAAGGAACAAGGTTTAAATAGTATTAAAGCGATCCACAATAGATTATCCCACTGCCTCATCTTCTTGTCTTCCATTGGGGAAACAAGGTAACACTTTACATTTTCTTTCTCTTATACCATGTACTTATGAAAAATATTTCAAAATTGATGACATCTTCTGCACAATAAAAATAAAAATATTTGTAAAGATGTTAATGCCAGTGTATTATAAATTGCTTCATAAATTTTCCTTTAATTAATATAAGGTTGTGATTCATCTTCTATGCTTTTAAATATAGTTAATATCTACACACTGGGGATTTCATTGTGATTGTGTCTCATGAAGTGCTCAGGTTTTATTTTGAAGGTGAGACCAAGATACTAAGGTTTCTAGAAATCTTGCAACTGCTTACTTTGTTTATGTTTCCTGAACCTCCTTATCATCTAAAAATTAGAGAATAAAATATTTACACAGCTACATACACTGTTATCCTGAAAAGTACAGATAAGATTATGAAAAATCTAGCACAATGATTGCCATGTATCAGTTGCTTAATAACGACAGCTATTTGAAATTTTCTTCCATGTCAAATTAATTCTCATTAAGAAGTAATATTTTCCATGTTTTAATTTGCTACACATAGGTAAGATATGACCTCTAAGTATAATTGATTAGAAAAATGTTAACTTGAGATAATGAATGAAAGGCAATAAAATATATCTGAAAAACTTAAAGCTTTGTTATTGTAAAATATCCTATGTATATTGTATGTATGAAAATATTATTTTAATCTTTACAGAGTAAGTGAATATATTGTCAACATTATATTGTTATTATTCAGTATAAAGATGAGATGTTTTATGCCAAAGAATTTGGAAACTATGGAAAATTATAATATACAAATATCAATGCGGATAATTGAGTTCCTATATGTATTCACCATCTATATTCACATGGATGTTAATCACAAAAAAATTTAGGTATAGCTTGGGTAAAAAATAAAAATATCCTTTGTGAATTTTAAATATGCATATTATAAGGAGTAAAATATATCAAAATTACATTAGAATACCTTTATTTCTCTTTTAACTCATCTGTAGTTTGTCAAAAGTTCTGTGGACTTACAGCCATAGAATTCGAGGTCAATCTATCTGGAAAGTGATTTCAGAGATTATAACTAAGGTCACTTTTGTTAGATGTATTAAATGAGGCCTGGTGGAACTCAGGGGCTTGCTTAAGCTTCAGCAGTCAGAAGGAAGCCTGATTCTAGCAGGGAATTTCCACCTGCATCTCTCTACAATTTGTACGTGAACCTGGCTGCATGTCTTGGCTCACCAAAAAAAAAAATGATATTAAAAGGAGTTCTGGTTAAATTTTATCTTTATGATAATAATTCATCACAAAATGCCCATCAGTGAAGATTAATCCTAGTAATTGACTATATCTGAATGGACCTTCCACATTTTAGCAAGCATAACTTAAAATTATGCCCTTTAGATGGGAAAAGTCTTTTGAAATAAACTATGATATTCATATCTGTAGTTATGAAATTCTCAAAACTATTTCCTGTTGTTGACATTCATTGCCCTTTTCTCATCATTGAGCAGAAAGGTAATAGATAAATTAGTAACAGATGACAATAAATAATATATAATCTCCAGAAGATAAAAATATATTCTAGATATTCTGTATGTTTCTGCAGGACAAAGTAGCCATGAAGTTTTTCATCTTTGCCTGCCTGTTGGCTGTTGCTCTGGCAAAGCATGTAAGTATATGGAGATACAAGTTTTTTTTTTAATTTAAATCTATAAAAAGAGTGAAGTCTTTACTACATGAAAAGGATACGAACATTGGAAGTGATGGACAGAGACCAAGTGTGTGCCTTGTAATCTGTGATCAATGATAACGTGCTCTGCCTACACAGAATATAAAGGTTAACAATTATTCTACAAACTGTCTTTGCTGTAATGTTGTAGAGGTTAAATATATAAGAATAGGAAGAAGGAAGAAGGGATAACTTATCCTCCATGATATGTTGTAATATAGTTCAGAACTTTCTGGAGAAACCATTCTCACTTCTCATCATGTTTCTAAGGTTTAAGATAGCTCTATCCCAAAGCCAACTGTCAAAGAAATCCAAATTCCAATGAATTTACCCACAACACAGTGTTTTAAAATTTTATTGCCATTAGACATCAGAGAAAGAGATTCACCTTGGCATTGCAGTCAATAAGTCATAAATTTGTGTTTGTTTTTGTTAATTATGTAGGAGATAAAGCCCTGATTCTCCAGTGAGGTAAAGCACTAATTATGAAGACGGATGCTGACAACTAATAGTACAAAACAAGTCTCTGGTTTATCTCATTCCCAATAGTCATTTAATAATTGTGACATTAGTACAAAAATAATGGTGGGCACTCCAGATACTACAGATGCAATTCCAATCCTTCTAGAATAAGGACTCATGCACATCTGCAACTATATTTGGCATTGATTTCTGGATGTGTTTGTACCCACACACACATAACAGATACCCAAGTCTCTTCAGGTGTCACCCAAAGAATTGGTTGTTCTCCTGATATGTATTTTATATAAAAATCAAAGATAAAAGAAAACAAATATATGCAGAGGACAATTAAAATTTTTCCTTCCATCTTTGTTGTTGACATTTGCAAAAATGTGTGATGGGTTCTCACATAAAAACATTGACAGTACAGAACAAGTTATTTTACTGGAAAGTAATGAGTTAATTATCCATGAGAGTAAAAGTTTGGCAATGTAGTCAAAGGTTAAGTATTTTATTCTGAATTATTGTATAATGGGTGTGAACTAATGATTTTTTGAATAGTGCCAAAAACCACAAATAAGGAATCAAAACTCATTATCAATTTCTTTTTCCAAGGAATCTGCCAGCATTGAGCAAGAAGTAAGTCATAACTTCATATGTTAAATATATTTTAAAATAATTTATCATTTTATAAAGCTGTAAAAATGAATGCCATTTATTATTTCAGAAGTGTAAGAAGGACAGAAATGTGGTCTTCCAAGCAAATCAGGTAAAATTATCTATTCATGCCTTTGTGATGATTACTGAAATGTATTTTATGTCCATTATGAGTTATTTTTCCATTACCAATGTATTATTTTTTAATATCTGTCAAATAGGTGATGTTTTTATTGTCTTAACTGCTGTGAAATAACATGAAAAGATCTCAGAAAAACATTTATATTTTATTTGTGACTGTGTTTTCAAAGTGTCATCCATCTGAAAAAATTATTTTTTTTACTTTTTTTCAGTTGTAAATAGAACAATACCTTTATTTTGTTTATTTATTTTTATGTGGTGCTGAAGATCAAACCCAGAGCCTCACACATGTGAAGCAAGCACTCTACCGCTGAACCACCTCCCCAGCCCCATGGAATTCTTATTAATAGACCCTCACTTTTCCTTCATTCTGAACTTTTAAAACTACCATTTTATATTTTCCAAGCATTACTTTATGCCAAAAAATGCTATTCAGGAATTATAGGAAATTATAAATAAAGTCCTCTTGAATTAATTATAGGAAATTATAAATAAAGTCTTCTTTTATTTATAAAGTCCTCTTGAATCAGGACTTTAATTACCCCCAATTTTTTTAATCCAGTAGGCATGCTACCTTGATTTCAAGTCTGATCATATTGTGTTGTATAAGTCTAGTTGAAATTAGCATAGATTAAAATGTATTCAATGACAAAGAAATTTGAAAATGAGGAAGGAAACAGGCACTTGCCCTTCCTAATTCAATGAACAATTCAATTGAAAAATATTAATTTGTCTATGAACCAGCTAACCCACTAAATACCTCCCCCTAAGTTTCCACAAAGAACAGAGATTAAGTCATTTTGTGACTTTAATTATTTACATTATTAAATGTTTTTATTAAAATTTACTCTTTTAAGCTTAAGTAAATTTGTTTTTTAAACAGTGAGTACAGCCCACAAAATTCCTCCCTCATAGTACTTACATTTCAATTCACCATTCACAACGTGTTTCTTTCCAATTGAAATTTTTTTATGTAATTATACATACCCACAAAAAATGAATTAATTATTATGCTTCTCTCTGTGGTAGATGGATTTTATCTTTATATTCAGTAGACTACATTTAAAAACAATGATATAAAGATATGTCTAACTCTTTTTAAACCAGGAAGCAACAAGCAAGATAGATGAAATGGTAAAATGCTTTTATTAATCTTAACATCATTAGATTGACAGCATTTATGCTTAATTTTAAAGATTAATAGTATTCCTCTTTTACTAAACCAGAAACTAATACTTTAATCCTTAAAAATTATAATTTTACTCCAACTGCATTAGTTTTATTACAAGTTTTCCCTTACTCTCACAATGGAGATACTGCCTTTGAAATAACAGATAATGCCTGCTTCTCCCATTTGTGTTTCAAAGGTGATAAACAATTAGTACCTATAAAGCCTGATTTTAATGTTTTTATTTAAACTTTTCTGTTGAAGTTCCATATTAATTAATGATTAGGTAGATAATTAATATGGAACATACCTAAAACAGGTACTGATATTTGAGGAACACTGTTGAGGATTCCATTTCTTCTTCTTATAAATTTTTTAAATTTTTGTTTTTATTTTTGAAGGTACCATCTCACAGTTCATCTAGTGAGGTAAGATATTATTTCCTTTGAAATCAAAAAACATTGCTGTCAGGAAATAGCAGCTTTCTAATACTGTTCTACATAATGTGATGATCTCTAGCAAATACACATCTGAATATTTAGGGAAGAAATGGGAACAACTTGCAAATGACTCAAAACCATATTGGGGAGACTTAAATTGACTATGTTCAGAAGAAACATCATTTATTCTACCTCTTATATTATATATATCTGACTCCATAGGAAATTGGATTTTAAATCAAGTCTGAGCGAAATCAAGGGATTGTCATTTGCCTTAAGCATAGCTTTACTTTGGAAACCTTAATGTGATTTAGAGGTGAGGTTCTCAAACAGGAGAGTGTTCCCTGAGAAGTAGCATCAGCAGCACTTTCTAAAAAAACTAAGAGAAAAACAAAATCTTGGGCCTTGGGCCCTATGGGAAAACTTACAGAATGAGAAACTCTGGATTGGGGATAAGCAAACTATTTTAGCAAGGCTTCTGGTGGTAATACACATTAACCTTTGAGAAACCTTTTTTTAGAACTTTAAACAGAGTTTGGGTTAGAAATTATGCAGATTGCCAAAACCTGAAACACCTCTGTTGATAGAAATAGGTTACAAGGGAGTCTTGAAAGAGCTGGCAGCAGCATCATGGATCATGGCCTTGTGACCATAAGTAACATCTAAATTCTTCATAGTCAGTGTCTTAAGAAGCATACCTCAGTTTCACCAATTTAAGTCTCACTTTACCAAGTCGGGTCTATATTGTTTCTCTCTTTTATTTATTTTTTGTTTGGTGTGGGGAGGGCGGTATCACTTGGCCTTACTCCATAAGACACAAGAAATTCTCTAAATAATGTAAAATTCATAAATTTTTATTCACTTTTTATTCAAAAAGTAAACATATTTAACTCATGCTGTTATTTTGGCACAAAGAGAATAACAAAGAGACCAAGTTTTAATAAATATTTAACTTGCTTAATTATTAATAAATGACTTAATATCTTACTACTAGTGGGTTAAACTCTGAATGTTTTTTTTTAATTGTCTCTAATTTTCTTGTAAAATTATTTAATGATAACTACTGCTATGCATTCAAGTAAAGCTACTTCTCATCTTGTTCCTTTAGGAATCTGCTGACGTCACTGAAGTAAGTAATCACAATTCAATTAAATTAATATCACTAGTAATATATTTGCTTTTTATTTCTCTTACATGTGCTTTGATTTTTAACAGAAAAAGGAGCAGTCTGAGGAAGAAAATGTCTACCTAAAACAGCTGGTAAGTTTTTTATGCAATTTATTACTTCAAATAAAACAATATATTTTACAATTCTTTCTCTTCAAGATGATCACATCATTTCTTCTCAATAAAAATATTTAGCACCAATTTTATGATAAATTACTTTTTACTATTATGACTATGATATGAAAATGTAGTCTTAATAAATAATAATGAAAACAGCATTTTTTGAAAAAAAATCCAAATAGAAGAGTTACAAATCTCAGAAAACTAATTTATTGAGCCTCCACTGTTTTATCATATAATCACATAATTAGTCACTCAGCTACTTTTTCTCAATAAAAATTTCATGAGATACTTTTATCCACTTTTTTTTCAAAGTTTTCACAAAATAACAGGACTCAGCTTCTTTTTAAAATAGCAACAAGAATTGATTAGTTAAGGTCAAATGCTACTAAGTGCTCTTATTCTAAGCCCTATGAGGTCATGTTACCTGGCTGCTGTGGACAAGAGAAATGTGCAGTACAAGAAAGAATGAGACTTCAAAGTCAGGTGATTTCATTTCCAACTTTAGGTCCCCAAGGTCTTCCTTAATCTCTTTAAAACTATGTTTTCCTTAAATGAAAATGAAGCTAGTAATAATATTTCAGCAGGCTTTATAGGGTGATGTCAGAAGACATACATAAATTATATAACAGAAATCTCAAAAAATGCATGAAAAGATAGCAACTATTATTAAGTTTATATATATGCAGAAAATGTATTCTAAATCTTTTAAAACAGAGATAGCTTCATATTGAGTAGTTCAAAACAAAAACTCTAAAATAAAACTGTTGTACAGAAAATTAAGTTCCCTATAGCTTTTTTTTCATTTTTTTCTGAAATTCTAATCAAATTCTCTTCTTGTACCACTGTCTAGCCAACATTTATGCCCAATTTTAAAAACATATTGATATTCTACACATCAACTTACTTATCCATCTGTATGAAGTAGAAGCCAAAAATGAAATTGCCATTTTAGGTGATTCCATAATTATTACTACGGTAACTTATGGTCAAGAAGCCATTGCCAAATCAAAGTAGGAGCACACTATATTATTTATTCAGCTGGACACACATGACAGGTGCTATACAAATCATTTGGCATGTCTTTCAAACAAGACTTCAAGGTAAATGACGCTCATGAGAGGTCAACAACTAGCCCAGGCGAAGGGGAATATAAATTGAATTGTCCCTCAGTCTAAGCACCAGCTTTCTTCAACCAGATATGGAAAAAAAATTGACAAAGTGAGATGAATTTCAACATAATTCTCCACTTCTTTTCTTATACATTATTTTGTTTTTACACTTATTAAAAACCTTACTTCACTAGAATCCTAAATTATCCAGATGATTTGCTTCAATTCTGAAGTTCACTTTATTCATATTTATAGTGAATTTTATATTTAAAATGTCTTATGTGGTCAATTTGGTATAATTTAACTATTATCTAAATAAAATATTTAATTCATTTGATTTTGTCCAGATATGCTCTGATCATATTAGGTACTCATATGTACATTTCTTTCCTTCTAGAACAAAATCCAACAATTTTACCAGCAAGCTTACTTCCCCCAATACCGTCAGGTTTATCGTCATCAGCAGAGAGTTTTGAACCCATGGAATAGCTTTAAGAAAAATGTCAATCATGCTATTTCCATTCCGGTGAGATGTGCATTTTTGCTTGTTTTTATTTATTATTTTTTAATAAGTTAACTAGAAGAAAAATATCCAGTCAGTATCAATGTAGATAGTAGAGCAAATTTCAATAACATTTTCTAAAACAAACTTTAAAGCAAACCTATTAGAAAGAACTAACAGTAATTACAATGTTTTCAACTGTCCTAAATATTCACTTACATGTCTTTGACTTGATTCTGACAGCAAGTCTCTGAAGTGGATAGCAGTAAAGAATATCATTTCCATTTTTAAAAAGGAAATGAAATTTTAAAAAACTGAGATCAGTTGCCAAAGTTTTAGTTAATATCTCCCTTTAATCTTATAAAGCCTTTTGGGCTTAAGGAACTCTTTCAAACATGAGGAACAAGTTCTAGAGGAGGAAATAGAATATGGGGTCTAAATTACAATTTGAGATTTGGGTTCAGAATACTAAAGATTGGGTTCCACATTCACTAAAAGTCTAAGTGACCTTGGGCATATGCTCTTCCCCTTTCTGTGCTTCCCATTTATTGGATATGAATGGCTTTCCTAGGTAGCCCTTAGAAATTAAGGAACCACCATCATTAAAGGAAATATGCTTATATTGTTAGTTTGAGCATTAGATGACTAAGGAATATTATAAAAGTCAAAGTCTGTTTTCATCAAAAATAGAAAAGTAAGTAATCACAATTCAATTAAATTAATATCACTAGTAATATATTCGCTTTTTATTTCTCTTACATGTGCTTTGCTTTTTAACAGAAAAAGGAGCAGTCTGAGGAAGAAAATGTCTACCTAAAACAGCTGGTAAGTTTTTTATGCAATTTATTACTTCAAATAAAACAATATATTTTCAATTCTTTCTCTTCAAGATGATCACATCATTTCTTCTCAATAAAAATATTTAGCACCAATTTTATGATAAAATTACTTGTTACTATTATGACTATGACATGAAAATGTAGTCTTAATAAATAATAATGAAAACAGCATCTTTTGAAAAAAAATCCAAATAAACTTAGAAGAGTTACAAATCTCAGAAAACTAAGTAATTTACTTGAGCCTCCACTGTTTTATCATATAATCACATAATTAGTCACTCAGCTACTTTTTCTCAATAAAAATTTCATGAGATACTTTTATTCACTTTTTATTCAAAGTTTTCACAAAATAACAGGACTCAGCTTCTTTTTAAAACAGCAACAAGAATTGATTAGTTAAGGTCAAATGCTACTAAGTGCTCTCATTCTAAGCCCTATGAGGTCATGTTACCTGGCTGCTGTGGACAAGAGAAATGTACAGTACAAGAAAGAATGAGACTTCAAAGTCAGGTGATTTCATTTCCGACTTCAGGTCCCCAAGGTCTTCCTTAATCTCTTTAAAACTATGTTTTCCTTAAATGAAAATGAAGCTAGTAATAATATTTCAGCAGGCTTTATAGGGTGATGTCAGAAGACATACATAAATTATATAACAGAAACCTCAAAAATGCATGAAAAGATACCAATTATTATTAAATATATATATATATATATATATATATATATGCAGAAAATGTATTCTAAATCTTTTAAAACAGAGATAGCTTCATATTGAGTAGTTCAAAACAAAAACTCTAAAATAAAACTGTTGTACAGAAAATTAAGTTCCCAATAGTTTTTTTTTCATTTTTTCCCTAAATTCTAATCAAATTCTCTTCTTGTACCACTGTCTAGCCAACATTTATGCCCAATTTTAAAAACATATTGATATTCTACACATCAACTTACTTATCCATCTGTATGAAGTAGAAGCCAAAAATGAAATTGCCATTTTAGGTGATTCCATAATTATTACTACAATAACTTATGGTCAAGAAGCCATTGCCAAATCAAAGTAGGAGCACACTATATTATTTATTCAGCTGGACACACATGACAGGTGCTATACAAATCATTTGGCATGTCTTTCATACAAGACTTCAAGGTAAATGATGCTCATCAGAGGTCAACAACTAGCCCAGGCGAAGGAGAATATAAATTGAATTGTCCCTCAGTCTAAGCACCAGCTTTCTTCAACCAGATATGGAAAAACAATTGACAAAGTGAGATGAATTTCAACATAATTCTCCACTTTTTTCTTATACATTATTTTGTTTTTACACTTATTAAAAACCTTACTTCACTAGAATCCTAAATTATCCAGATGATTTGCTTCAATTCTGAAGTTCACTTTATTCATATTTATAGTGAATTTTATATTTAAAATGTCTTTTATTTGGTCAAATTGGTATAATTTAACTATTATCTAAATAAAAAATTTAATTCATTTGATTTTGTCCAGATATGCTCTGATCATATTCGGTACTCATAAGTATTGATATATTTCTTTCCTTCTAGAACAAAATCAATTTTATTATGTCCAGAAGATGGCAGAGTTGAGAATCAATGACTATAGATTAACTAGTGGATCTCAGCTCTTAATAAATAAAGGAAGTGGTGACCCTGTCATAAACAGGGTAAACAAGTCAGTTAACTATCCTTCATGTTCTATGAATTATATTCACTGGTGGTGAAATGCATACATTTTAGTTTTTATTCCTGGGGATTCATTTCCCTGCCAGGCAAATCCTGAAGCAGCATGAGCAAGGTCCACAGCTAAAATGGTAAATTTCAAAGTTAGCCTTTAAATCAGCATAGAATTTCACCATTTTGCTAATAATCATCTGAAATATTTAATAATTAAGAATGCATGAAAGTAATGAAATTAGTAAGCAAAAGTCTGGACTAACCTATAATTAGACCACTGTTTGCAAAACAATTCTGTAATATTTATGAACATTATTTTCTTGTAAGTGGAGTAATCACAACTTCAATACATGATATAGGTAAGTAAGTGATTTTTTTGATAAACAAAGAAACTATATGAAGTTATGTCAACATCATGAGAATTTAATAAATTATATATATATATGAAAAATCCTAAGTAATTTTAGTGTAAATAAAATAAAAATTACTGCGTGCCAATTCCAATCCAGACCCAAAAAGTAAAATCTACTTCATTTATGAAAAGTAAATGCTACTTCATTTATCTCTTAAAAAAACAAAGAGAGAGAAGAGGGCTAGGGTTGTGGCTCAGCAGTAAAGTGCTCGCCTAGCATGTGTGAGGCCCTGAGTTTGATCCTCAGCACCATATAAAAATAAATAAAATAAAGGTATTGTGTCCACCTAAAAATAAAAATATGTAATTTAAAAAAGAGAAGATAGTTCAGTGATCAATTGCCCTGAGTTTAATAGAACATTAGTTTCTTCTTTAATTGTACTAGTCTTAACCAACCTCTTCCTTAACTTTTTGTTCTGTACATGACCTCTATTACATCTTTTAATAAAATACTTTTATTTAACTAACAGTAAATTCCAGTTACTTGAAAATAGCTAATATATTATTATTTTGCTATATTTGCATTTTAAGTCAAATAATTATATCAAAAATGCTTGTTCAAAGCTTCTCTTTACTATATGTTAGAAGATATGTGCAGGATATTATTGTTTTCAGTATGTATTATAAAACAATGCATATTTCCTTACCAGAAAATATATAGTATCTTAAAACATTGTAATACTCTTTAGCTGGTTTCCATATACAGTATTTTATATTTTTAAATGCAACAACTTAAAAATCTATAACCTAACACCTAATCCAGTTCTTAAATATAAGAGATATATTGTTAGTCCCATAATTTTTGACACATAGAGAATCACGTATTATTGCTATCATTGGAAAGTATGGGATTTTGCAAAGCTCAGATTCAGATAAAATGTCCATGGAAAACAATGCATATTCCAGGTGGCTATTTGATTAAGCCCTAAAATTGAACCTTTTTTTTTTTACATATAGAAAAAAGAGGAACACTCCTCCACAGAGGTAAGGTGTTTTCACATTAAAATAAAATCTTTGTATCCAGTACCAGATATTAAATTCTGTATAAGACTGTCTTTAAATTATTTTATGGTTAAGGTTAGAGTAATAGAATTAGAGAACATGGAAATTTAAAAATGTAGCAATGTTAAAAGTCATTTTAGGGGAGCAGCCTAAAACTGTAACAAAGTTAGCAGAATTATATTTGTGACTACCAGACACTAGCAAAAATGTTCAATACCATCTCCTTTACTGGAAGTCACTGAATAATCATATTACTTCAGGAGTCATGGTGTCTGTTTTAGGTTGTACAAACTGACCAAGAGGGTCCCTTCTATGCTTCCAAGTAAGGACTTGAGTTCATACATTTAGTGCTAATTTCCAGAAATCTTCCTACCAATGCTTCAGAATACATGTCTAAAGGCACCCTGAATGTTACTTAAAAATTTGGTTAATTTTGTTGGGTTTTATTTTCCTTCTAAAACACCAAAAATAGCATGGTAGGAAACAACATTTGAAAAATATGTAATTATTTTTTTCCCCTAAGGAACCTACCAGAATCTCCCAAGAGGTAAGTCCTAACTAATACAATTAAATAAATTTTAAGGTTTTTTTTTAAATGTCATACATAATAAGCATTGTTTACTTAGCTTGATTATATGCAGTACTTAATTGATGAACTAAATTCGGTATTCCTGCTATGAGAAATGGAGATCTTATTATTTAGCAGTTTTAATTCTTATTAATTCCCAGAATTTTAAAATTTATTGTTACTCTAGCTGCTTAATTGTGTAAATATTTACCAAATATTTTTATGATATTTAATCTAACAGAAATTTTATATAAACCCTACCCACAACATACGTATGAATACTTTAATACAGAAATACCTATTTAATGAAATTGCAATAAATGCAGTATTATTTAAATTCTTCTTTAATATATTAATATATTAACTAAGTTAAACTTATCAATCTATTCATTTAAGAAGCATGCATTTAGCAAATACTATTTCCCTTGCATGATTTTATATCTTGAGGATTCAAAAATGCATAAAAAGGCAAAACACTCCATGTTACATTCCATTAAAGTCATGAATATGTGTTTTTTTCTTTGGAGAACTCAGATATAATTTGAGCATTAAAAATAAACTAATTATTATTTTTCTCAATGTTTTTTTTCTTGCTACATCCAAAAATAAAATCTGTCTTATCAATAAAGTGGAAACACTAAACAATGTGTTTAACTTGTGTATTCTTTATTTAAGGAAACCTTAAAGAAGATTGCTGATTTGGTAAGGGTGTTTATTTATATACAACTATATTTGATTTAAAATTTAATGGGAAGAACAAGCATTCTTATGAACTCCTTTTAATAAATAAGGAAATCAGTTTCATTGTATAAAAGCACAATTTTTATTAGGCCCCTTGACTACATTTTTCTTAATTGTTCTTAATTCTCTCAGTTAAAGATTTCTATCTTCATATACATCTTGTCTACGTTTTACACTATTTTAACAAAAAATATGGAATTTTTAATTTTTTGAAGAAAAAATACATTTTTGCTGTTCCATTTTGTCCATTAGAATGATGATCATGTTGGTAAAACCAAAAGTTCTATCACACTATTATTTTTTGAAAAAAGTTTCTCCTCAATTAACTTGGTCTTCATATTTTTATTCTTTTTATTGTTCTTTTTATTTATCAAGGACACTTCTAGCAGCTCATCTAGTGAGGCTGGATAAATGGCACTTTGTTTTAAGTTAAAGAAAAAACTAATCCATCAAGAAATAACACTTTTTCTACTGCAATAATTTTCAGAAAATTAATAGCTGCCAATTTTTAACAAAGTCACATCAAAACATATAATAAAAATAACAGAAATACTATGGATAATACATATTTACAAACTTATAACTCAAGTAATTGAATATATATACACGTATATAAAATCATAACTTTCTTCCCATGAAATATGGGAATAATTTCAAAATAAATTATCATTATTGCTGTGGTATGAATTTCTTTAAAAATAAATAAGGGTCTATTTTTTAAGAAAAAATACTTTTGAGCAATTATTGATTGATTCTGGAACACATGCAAATCTCAGAAATGTGTTTTCATTTCAAATGGACTAGATGAGATTACCCATAGAACACAACTGCATTCTTACTTCTCTTGAATACTATGATATGACTTAATTTCTCAAATTGTTTTAAGGTGTTTAAGTGACTATTTTCAAACCACAGGCGATTCTGTAACCAGCTCTTATGGTCCAAAGACATACGTGTCTCAGTAAAAAGACACAGGTTTGTAGTCAGGCAATTTATATTCCAACTCCAGGTCCACTGCCTTTTCTATCTGTGACATTGTTTATTGAGTATTTTTAAATGTCCACTTATTTCCCCATGAAAAACAAACTGAACCCATCTCAGAGCCTTGGTATTTGTGGAAATAATTATTTGTTATATATTTACCTTTTAAAATATAAGTAGTGCCTATTGAACACTTACCTTGTGCCAGGTCATGCCAGGTGCTCTGTATACATCACCTTTTTAATTTTTTTTAATATAACTGGTTTTTATTTATTCTTTTTAATTATACAATACATTAGGATTATTTCAACATACTTATAAAAGCATGGAATTTAATATCCTCTAATTCCATTCCCAGTACTCCCCCTGTTCCCTGCCTTCTACTCTTATTGATCTTTCTGCTATTTACTTATAGGGTTTTTTTTTAATTAGTGCTTTATGGATATACATAATGGTGAAATTTCCTGTGGTATATTCATATATGTTCTGTGACATTTTTAAGTACTTAATTCCTGTTAGCTACAGTATCTTCAACTGAAAAATGAACATAGTAACACTATTAATTCTAAAGACTTTTTGTAATGATCATTTCAGATAATATGCAAAGTCTACAATAGAATGCTGGGAATACAATGAATGTATTATTAGCATAGGCATTGTTATCATCATTCGGCTATACACTCTAAAAATTTCCTCTAAAACTTTTATACTAGAAGCAGTATTTTCTTCATTGAAACCACAGTCCTCCCACATAAAGAGCTACCTTGCTTGGGAAAGTTCTGATTTCTGTGAAGACCTTTATGTTTTTTCAGAGTGTCTCCAGAAGCAGTCTACCATTGTATCCATTACCTGCCATCCATTGCTGTGAAGCCATTTAACAGTCATTCCCTGGGAGTTCAAAAATATCTTTCCACTCACAAAAACTGAAAATTCAACTGTAGGAAGTCAGAAGTTTAATTTTGTATTTATCTCCTACAATAATCTATGATAAGGTAAATGAAACAGAGTGTTAAAAAACTTAAACATGAGGGAAACACCTTGTACATATAATATGTGACAGGGACTATTCAGAATGCTCTCTGAATATTAACTACTAGAATTCTGCAGTGTAAATGATGCTTAGAAAGATGAAGCAACTGCATCAGAGTCATTCCAGAGAGGGAAATCATGAGAAATTATGCTGAACTTCTCTGGTCCTAAAGATCAATATGGTAAAATAAATGATAAAAGGATACACTTATCTTGCTTATTCAAAAAAAATTTTTTCTCACCTTCTTACATACACATTTGCTTTTTTTTCCTCTTAGAAATTTTTATATGAGTGCCTGAATTAACTAGAGGATTTCTTGAACTTTATAGTCACTCTACAATATAGAAAGGTTTACAGCAACTTTTATATTAGTGAACTGCTTTCATTGGGACCTACTTGGAAATTGCCTAAGTACCTAAAGTTATATTTAATTTGATTCTGTCTAGATTTCTTGTGAACCCCGGAGGAGATTTAATGTGAAGTTACTGTTAACAACTGTATTTCCTTGCAGATCAAGATCAACCAATTTCAAACATTCGCCGTCCCCAAATATTTCCAGGTTATTCATCCACAGCGGATAGCTGTAAATTCTTGGGCTCACATTAAGAACATTGCCTACCCATATATTCCCATTGTGGTATGTTTGCCTTTTTTAAATCATAAAATAAAATTATAATTATTATCTTTTATAAAAACAATAACGATGTAAAGAAATGAAATAAAATAATCCCACATTCTCACATAAAAATCAATTCGAATTGAAATAAATACGTCAAGGCCAGTAATGAAATACAAAATATATGCTTCAAATATAATGATATATATAATCATAGCAATGGTGACAGAGAATTGTACTTATATTGGAATTTAATTTCCTAAATATGTTGTTAAATATGGAGTGCATGTATAAATACATATATATATATATATATATATATATATATATATATATATATATCTCCCCTAGATAATTCAAGTGACACACAAATATCTTTAGTGAGTTAAAATATCTCATAATTTATTTTTCTTTCAGAGGAACTTCTAACATTCTTGAACTAACAGCTGCTTCTTGAACTTAGGTAAGTCCCTTTAGGCCTGGATATTGAGCATCGATTCAAACAGGATTTTCAGCTGAAAAGACAACACTAAAGAAAAATCACATTTAAAAAATTTAGTTAAACTTTTAAGTCATAGTTTGATTTGTGAGATATTTTAACTTTTTCTATGAACTTTGATTCACAGATGGAAGGTATCTGTGTAATTTGCACATGTGAGCTTTTTATAAATGTTTAAAAGCAAATTACAGACAATTTCTTTTGTGGATAGATGTGTCCAGCCAACAAAAAGGTTCTGAGAAGAAATCTCCCTAAACATGGGTGGCCAAACTGGTTCATTCTTGACAGTTTCCTTTCACCTTACACCCCTAAACTCAAATTTTTATTTTTGTTAGGGAATGCTATGTGTGCATATATGTGTATAATTTAATCCTATCTTTCATTTGGGTCTCCTGATAATAGAAAGTGGTCAGCAAATTTTCCAGATTATTAAATTGAGAAAAATCATCAGAATCACTAAGGATGAAAGCTGAGATCTAAGTTTCATAAATCACAATATTCACTTTAATGCTATTTAGTCTTTCATTATTTTGCAATTGCTTATCATGGATCCAACAATATAAAACACTGAAATAATGACCCAACCTTCCTTAACCTCAGTTCTAGGAGAAATAAATTTACAAAGAAGTTTACTAGGTGCAATATTAGACTTATAAGCATAATATTGTAGTAGAAAGAAAAAGTTAATTGATTAAGGCCTGAACCAATAGTAAAACCAGAAGTAAACAAAGCAAAGGATGTCAGAATACTTTAAGGCAAAAGTAAATGAAATTGGCAAAATATTTATGAAACTAAACTATAATAAAAAGGTTTCCAATCAAATGGATTGTGAAGGATTTACTTTTGAAGAGTTTTGGTAAATTTTTCTGAAAGGACATTTTGCTAAATATAATTATTTGACAAATCATTAGTCCAAATAAGTCAAGAAATTGTCAATTATTTTAGAAATTAAATATATTTTATGCCTAGTAAACTACTTAGAAATTAAGAATAATTAAAATGTTCCTTCAACATTTTCTCAGAATTATATTTTCATTTAGTAGAATTATTAAATAGAATTTTTTTTGCATGATACTGTATAGAATTTAGCTATTTAACCATAATTTAGTCACTTGTGAAATAAATTCTTAGTAACAACTCATTTGGTACTAGAAACCATGAATTAGTGATAACTATAAGTAATTATATTAGATCTGTCTATGTGTTTGATGTATATGTGTATTATGTACATAAATATGTCTAAGAATTTTATATCTACATATTCCAGAATATACATTTTGGATAACCTAATATGTTCTCTTTATTCATAGGTTTGACTCAAAAAATCATTTCTATATAGTTTTCTCATCTATCACATCATCTCCTACTATCAACATTTCTTGATGTGCTTGTTGAAAAGACAACAATATTGAACTACAAGAAGTTCGTGTGGAATATTTTCTATAGTTAATATTCTTTTTGGTTTATGTTGGATATGTCAGACCTGGATTGTGTGTTCATATTAACTGTACTGATGATTAATTGAGGTCTTTTCATCACTATTTCTGAGATATAGAACACAATAATGTTGCCAAAATATTAAAATATCAAATGCACTTTTAGCTGTATGGTCTTTCTTCTATTCCTTAGTCTTAAAGACCAGATCACTATTACTAGAATAACCTGTTCTATAGCAACTAACTTTATTTAATTTTGAAACTGGCTTGGATAGCACAAAAATAATTTTGTATGTATTTGGGGCCCTTAATTGCAAGTGTGCCTCTCATACCTGATGTACTTGAATGCTACATATTTGGAGGCCTCAACCATAACTTACATTCTCAGCACCATTGAGGCAACTTCCACCAGAGTTCTCAAGTCTCAAATCACAACCTATGCTTACAGATGGTAACACACAATATCACACCGTAAGAAGAAGATCTAATGAGTACTGAAACATTTAGAGGCCATCTATCAAGGGTTTAGACTACTTTCAACAAACATTGATCAGGCATTATTCTAGATGTCATATAATACAACTATGATATGCCAGGTGTATTTCTAGTTGCTTTATACTGGAAAACCAAACAAAGACCCTACTCAATGGGGTTTACATTTTAATCATTGGAGGAAAAGAACAAATATGAAAAGAAGCAATACAGAGTGCCATGTGATGATAATCACACTAAAGAATAGGCAATGGGAGGGTATTTTAGATAGCATGATCAAGAAAGACAATGGTGGCAGGTCAGAGTTTGAGCAGAGAAGTGAAATAATGTGTGAAAGAGAGGAATACAATTCCAATAGAAGACACAGTAAAAGCAAATTCACTGAGGCAAGTGCACACATACTGTGAAGGAAAAGTGCCAAAGAGTTGAGCACTGAGAGAACACCAGGGGACATCAGATAGAGCACTAATCTCTGGGGTATGTAAAGAACTCAAAAAGCACCAAAAAATAAAATAAAATAAAATAAAACCCTATCAATAAATGGGCCAATGAGCTAAACAGACACTTCTCAAAAGAGGATAACAACCAATCAACGAATATATGAAAAAATGTTCATTATCTCTAGCAATTAGAGAAATGCAAATCAAAACTACTATAAGATATCATCTCACTCCAGTCAGAATGGCAGCTATTATGATATAAACAACAATAAGTGTTGGCAAGAATGTGGGGAAAAAGGCACACTCATATATTCCTGGTGAGACTGCAAATTGGTGCAGCCAATATGGAAAGCAGTATGGAGATTCCTTGGAAAACTGGGAATGGAACCACCATTTGACCCAGCTATCCTCTCCTCTGTCTATACCCAAAGGACTACAGGACTCAGCCACATCAATGTTTATAGCAGCACCATTCACAATAGCTAAACTGTAGAGCAAACCTAGATGCCCTTCAGTAGATGAATGGATAAAAAAATATGTGGCATATATACACAATGGAGTATTACTCAGCAAGAAAAGAAAATCATGGCATTTGCAGATAAATGGATGGCGTTGGAGAAGATAATGCTAAGTGAAGTTAGCCAATCCCAAAAAAACAAATGCCGAATCTTTTCTCTGATATAAGGAGGCTGATTCATTAATGACACTGACACATAAAATTTGCTGAGTAATTTTCAGGTGCAGTGTGACCAATATTCTATTGTCTCTATTCATTCTCACAGTCACTAATAATCACACAGTGGAGGCTATTGTAACTTATCCCAAGAGCACTACTGTATTTGGTCCTTTGTTAGAGTCTTAACAGCAAAGTAATGCTTACAATTCTATTTCCTTGACTACTTCTTCCACATATGTTGAATTCACTGGGTTTTGTTTGTTTTGTTTTGTTTAGTTTTATAACATAGATGTTCTGTAGGGTTCTCAACTCATCATTTTTCTTTTCTATTTTTTTTTTCTGACTGTAGCTACTTTTTTTTCTATCCTTTTTTCAATTTAAAAATTGTAGCCAGGCGTACTGGTACACACCTGTATTCCCAGAGACTCTGGAGGCTGAGACAAAAGGATAGCAAGTTCAAGTCCAATTTCAGCAACTTAATGAGATTTAGCAATTCAGTGAGATTATCTCAAAATAAAAAATAAAAAGGGTTGTAGATGTAGCTCAGTGTTAAAGCTACAAATCTTTAGGTATGATCCTGAATTTTTACCTACCAATTTGGACTAACATACCACTTCCCTCTTAGATATTTCAATTTTTATATTTCAAAATTTAAAATATAATCACCTTGAGTAACATTGAATTCCTCTTACACAGAAGGCATCCCTGTGAACTCACATGTCATTATAAATTTTCAGGTTTATATTTTTATTATAATAAAAGAGGAATATATTATTCTATATAGATTTTTTTGCAGATAATAAAATAGTCTTCTAGGAATTGGGCTCTCTTCTAGGAGTCTCTAGGTTCCCATTTTAATCATTAGTGTAGGTTGACAGTCAAGAGATGTTTTTCTACTCATTGAAGTAATTTAAAAAAATTAAAATACAAAGTTAGACTAAAATCTTGGCAATATTGCATCCTGTGGCACCATCCTTATAAAACTGCAATAGCTCTTCATTATGTATTTGTCTTTCTAACCAAATAATTTTTCAGTTTCCAAGACATGGATTGGGTCATCAATCCCAGGCTCCCTTCTCCTTACTCCACTATGAATCAGCCTCCTTTTCCCCTTGTTGCAAAACAGCAGGACATGTTCTTCCCCGTATGTCTGCTAAAGCCAACTTTTCATGGAATATGAGATTCGGAAAAAAAAAAGTATTTCCTTTACTATTATTCTTCTTGTTTCTGGCTGTGGATCATACTCTCACATTTTTATAGTGTGAATTAAAAAGAAGGAATAAATAATAACTCTATTTTTAAAATAGGAATCTAGCTACATTTGAAATTGGTCATTAAACTTTTTCTTTTATAGAATAACAGTTCTTTGGAACTTCAATTCCCAAATGCCTCTTAGTGTCTTTGTTTTAATATTAGTTTCTATCCAAAATATTACAAAATCTACATATGTTGTATTTCCTTGAATAATGCTTAAGGACATATATTTCCTTGAGAGCAAAGTTATTAAATCATACTTAAAGATGCTGAATTTTGGAAAGAGGTATATCTATTTTATTGTTATAAAGGAAAAATAATGAGCCTGGCACGGTAGCCCATGCCTGTAATCCCAGAGGCTCGGGAGGCTGAGGCAGGAGGATCGAGTGTTCAAAGTCAGCTTCAGCAAAAGCGAGGCACTAAACAACTCAGTTAGACCCTGTCTCTAAATAAAATACAAAATAGGGATGGGATGAGGTTCAATGGTGGAGTGCCCCTGAGTTCAATCCCCAGTATCCTCCCCAAAAAAGAAAGAAAATGAAATAGCAAAATATAATTAATAATTTTAATAAAGTTATTCCCCTTATCAGCCCTGAACAATTGCAAGGGTGCTCCTTATAAGCCTGAAAACCACAAAAGGGACATTTGGGGTCTAGCCAATGCAAGCAAGTCAGGTTACCAAAGCAGAAGAGTGCAGTCAGGAGGCGGAATACTTAGCCAGTCACAATTAGCCCAGTCACCCCAGTTACAGAAACAATGCCCCATGAGGTAGTTCTATGTTCCTAAGGGTTTCTATAGCAAAAGGAAAAGAACAATTTGCCCCAGTCATGACCTTTCTATTTGGCATGGTTTTTACAAAACGGAGTTACTAAACAAAGTGGAGTCACTTTGGCTTGACTATCACACTACAAGCAGTGGAGATGCTTATGGAGAGAACTGAGTTTAATGATGTTAGCATTAAATGCCTTTACTCCATAGAAGTAAAAATTGTGGCAGTGTAATAAGGGCAAACACAAATTAAAATTTAAAAGCTTAAATGTTCCTTGAAGGGAAAAAAAGACCTCTCCTTTTTCTTAGAACATTTAATTTAAAAATCTTATACATTCTTTCTCTTTCTTTGAAATAATGTCAATCTTTGTGTGTGAGTGCACATGCAAATACATGAACCTCCTAAACATTTTACCATTATGAGCTACAATAGCAACCTTATTAAAAGCAAAACAAGACTCTTTCCAGCTTTAAAAGAATAACTTTCTCAAGGATCTAAAAGCCATCACTGGAAATGAAATTATCAAGGAACATAGTACATATCTCCCAGTTTTTGTGGGAAGATAGGAACTTAACTTTGGCCATCTGCTTCCTTCCATGTTGCCAGAGAAGTTTATTTTTCCTTTGGCTCAACCCAACACTTTAACAAAGATGATCACCCAATTACCAAACAAATTTGGGATGGACTATGTGTGAAAAAATGGTGTCTTCAAGTCTTACTTGAGGAATAGTTATTGTTTATCTTAAGAACATGTATGTAAACAGTTGTGTCTACCTGGTGAGATTTCTTTGCTTTTTTTTTAAAGACAAAATCTTACTAAATGCATAGGCTGGTTTTGAATCTACTTCAGCCTCCCAGTTCACCGGGACTTTGGACATGCACCACAATGAGATTTCTTCTTGTCCTCTCAATTTGCTTAGTGAGTTGGCTGTGATGGATTTCATATTCTGACTTAAAGTTCATTGAATAAGAATCTGTTTCCTTTCTCTTATGGTTTTATGGAGAGGTTTCTGGAGTGACAAAAGATTTTGTTTTTATTATACTTCCCCAACAATGGACAAATTTTAAAAATTTGTTTCAGATAGAGAAGGAAGCAATCAACCAAATAAACAAAAATATTCTCATTAAAAAATGAGAACTGTTATATGTTTGAACACTCCATGAAAAAGCTGATGACTCTCTATGATTAAGAGATGGGTTCTAGAAGGAAAAAGAATCAGTCATTTATCTTGTCTTTGATAGCTACTAG